TTATTCTAGCAACCCCCTGTCCCATTTTTTATAAATCGATTCACACAGGATCTAACATGCACACAGGTGAATATATATCAAACAAATTTATTAAAGTAATTGAAGAAGTAGGAATTTTAAAAATGAACACCATAATAACTGACAATGCAAGCAATATGAAAAAAGCATGGGCCCTTGTAAAACTTTAAATATATTCAAAAAAATTTCCAAGGCTCAACCCTTACCCTATATTTTAAAAAAAATTAGGGACACAAAAGGGTAAAAATATAGTGTTGTAAACGAAGGCGTTCAAAATGAACGCGTTCGTGAACGAAGTTCGTTTTTTTGAAAAAAAATAATGAACGACGTACCTTTTATTTTTGACGATTTTTGAACGTGAACGCGTTCCTTTCTTACGATGAACGCGTTCGAATCTAACGTTCGTTCAATTTAAAAAATACTTTTTATTTTTATTTATTTGAAAAATATAATATTTCCGAATTTTTTTTAAAAAAAATATATATTTATATTTTTTAATCGGCTGTTTATTTCCTTTTCACATTTTAATCTTTTTAACACATAGTTTATTAATTTGAATATTAATGTTTATATTTTAATTTAATAGATTAGCCTAAGCATGGATATTATTATTTAATCCTCATCATCTGATTCTGAAAATTCAAAATCAGATGAATTATCATTACCTTGGGCAAATATGATAAATGTTTTACAGTAACATCCTATATTGATGGAACTAATTCAATACTTACCAAGTGTAAAATATGCCCAAAAAGTATTATATTATCATAATCTTTAGGTTCCAATTTAACGACATTTGATTGTAATGTTAATTACTTTATTTTATATAATATAATATAACTAAGTAAAATCATTAAATTTGAAGAAAATGCATTTGGGCTAGGCCTCATATATGGTCAACCATTGACAGACACCGTATTAAATGGGATTAATAAAAGGTATTAAACCTATCACTCTCAATTAATTACATATATATATATATATATATCTTTTTAAAGATTTCAACATGTATATGAAAATCAATGTGTTCTTTCTGCAATTATACATCTAGTATTCAAACTTCAATAGGAATGGATAAAACTTAGAACGAATCTATTATAAATAAACATATAGCGTTATTGAAAAAAAATGCTTTAAAACCCTATAAATGATAATGCAAGAACTGTTAATTTCGAGAGATATCCTTTTTTTGTCGAGGAAGTATAGAATGGATTGGAGGAGGATAACTCATCTCAATTTTTTGAAGCAAATAACAAAACAATAAATGTTTTTAATAAATTCCCCACCTAAAGAGTTACTTATTAAGTATAATACCGCAATCCCCTCATCACCCTTGATCGCGTTTTTAGTACAGCTAATACCGTATTAACTGCCAAAGCGTTCCTGTCTATTAGATAAAAATTTTGAAAAATATTGTTATTAAAAATTAATAAAAATTTTTTTTTATAATTTATAATTAAATTATCAAGATAAAAACTATATTATTTTTTTAACATGGCTAATATTGAGTTAATAAATATAAGACATTTATTTATATTGGAAAATTTAAAAAAAAATTTATCTTAAAATTTTGAACGGTTCATGAAAGTGAACTTGAACGCGTTCCGTTTTTGCCAAATCAATGTTGAATGCGTTCGATTTTTTTACAAATGTTTTCAGCACTATAAAAATATAATTTTATCTCGTAAAGATGTTAAATTATAAATTCAATGATGGAAAAAAATTACAATTGTCATTATCGTTATTTTTTAAAATATTTGAATTTTTTTGACTATGTGAATATCCCTGAAAAATAAAAAAAATTTATCTTAAAATTTTGAACGGTTCATGAAAGTGAACTTGAACGCGTTCCGTTTTTGCCAATAATCAATGTTGAATGCGTTCGATTTTTTTACAAATGTTTTCAGCACTATAAAAATATAATTTTATCTCGCAAAGATGTTAAATTATAAATTCAATGATGGAAAAAAATTACAATTGTCAATATCGTTATTTTTTAAAATATTTGAATTTTTTTGACTATAAGTATGTGAATATCCCTGAAAAATAAGGGAGATGTTCTAGTAGGTATACATTTTTTTTAATATCATTATTAATATAATATTATTGATAAATTATTATGATTATTATTATTGATTATTATTTTTTTTTAAATATTTCTTTTTTACGTAATTAAAATTGAAAAAGAAAAATAGAGATTAATTTTTTAATAAATTGGATTTATTGTTGAATTACTCTTCTGAACAATCATAATGATAATATATAATTTAAAAATTAATTTTGATAATAAACTATCCGCTAGATGGGGTAATAGATTTTAAAATATATATTTTTTTTAAAAAATTATAAATTTATAAATTTTTTGGATAAAAATTAAATATAAAAAAACACATAAAAATATGGGTTTTATTGCATTACTATATGGAACCATGAATAGCAATGCGATTACTTTAATGAATAGCAATCGTAATGGCTTATATAAAATAGAAGGCTTCATCACGATTAGAGGTCTGCAATGTGCGGGTATTTAGCCAATAAGCCCGCCATCTGGCTCATTTATAAAAAAATTTTTAAATTTACCCCCCCCCCCCCCTACAACCCATTTATCTATAAATTTTGTTTCCCCCAGACCCCTTATCTCTTAATGCTTAAAAATTATTTTATTTTCATCTATCTTTACTGCAACTAATCATTTACACTCAAGTGAGATAGTAGTAAATATTTAACTTATAGGGTAGACCGAGGCATGTTGAGTATAGAAAAATGTCAGTTCGCTACCTATAATTTATATTATTAATTTATAAGACTGGAAATTTAGGCTAAATATAGATAATTATGATTGGCTAAAAGAGATTTAAAAAATGTATCGTATATTAATATTTTACAAAGACGAAAATGTCACAAAAAATAATTGCAAATTTTATCATAAGATTTATAAATAAAACATGCATTTAAAATCTTATTAAATATTTTTTTTTAGGAAAGTTAAAACCATTTTTATTTAATCTGACAATTTTTTTTTTAGAATTGTAAAATATGGGTTATAATAACATAATTCTGAATGATATTTGCAAATAGTGTTGTTAAACGGCTCCTTTTTAGCCGATTAAAAACGGCTAACTAAGCCTCGAGATTTCGTTAATATATGTTCAAAAACCTTTGTGGCCACCTATGAGGAAAATCTTAAGGCTTGCATATCCTAATAAAATATTGAGTTAGCCGTTTTTTAAAATAGCCTCAAAATGAGCCGTTTAACAACGCTATTTGCAAAATGATCTAAGATCTAAAATATTAATTTTTTGATAGAATATACCTTAAATAATTTTTTATTTTAATTTTCGTTTTACAAAAAATACCTAAAATTTTCTTAAAATCTTCAAAATTAATTTAAATTTATAATTAATTTTCATTTAATTTATTAATTATTGCGTATTACGATATCATCAATATTAAAATTTTTAAAAAAATTTAATTTTTATATTTTAGGGCCTCATTTCTATGGTGGATTTAATGTAACTTATTATTGGGCCAACGTGGACAAAGAGATGCACAGGAGTGCCATTAGCTTTCGTATGCTTATGATCTCATGTGGGAAAAGTGAAATTGATGTATATTGTTATAAAGTGAATTGTATGCCGGATTAAATGTAATTACACATTTATTAATTTAATTTATTTATTAATTAAACAACAATTATAGCACATAAAAATTCCACCAAAAGTAAATGAATTTATTTATCTTTAAAATATATGACATACAATTACCAAAACAAACTAACAATTTAAAATTGTAAATTTCGCTCTTATAATATAACATTTCTCAATTAATTTTACTTTTTCTGTTCAAATTGTTTCTTTAACATTGTAAATCATTTAATACGCGTCTTTGACAATCTTAAATATATATATTTTCCGACTTGATTATTCAAATTTTATCGCTTACACACAACATATATGACATTGAAATGAAAAACGAAGAGCGAATGCCGAATGAATGGATAAGATATGTGGGGGCAGGAAATTTAGAGGAAACAGGCAGTGTGTAGAGAAAAGTATCGCCAAGAACTCGCTTATAAATACACGCTACGTAAAATAGGTTGAGGAAAGGTGTAACGGCGTGAAGCCTAGGCTGGCTGGAGACGCGTAGGTTTATTTATATTTACAAAATGTATGAGATTGGATGGAACTGGTTAACATCGGCAACGAGAAATATTTTTCAAATGATATACATACAAGCATTGCATCGGACCTATTTCTCGGGTTCAATCCCGGTTGGAGAAAAAAATTTCCCGCCAACTCTTATCTGAAATGAAAATTTACAAAGGTCCGGATTCGACCGACTAGTCTGTAGATAGGGATCGATCAGCGTAGAGCTAAAATACACATATTTCTGGTCATTCCCCCAAAAAATTTAAGCTAAATCATATTCGCGTTATACAGAACTTGAAATTAAAACGAACCACATTATACAAGAAAAATCCTAACGATAGTTTTGTTTTATATATATATAATTATTTCAGGTTTACCACTTATACTTCTCCTTCTTCTCCGTTTAATGGCGGCGTTTCCTCTTCCTTTTCTTTCTTTCGTCCTAAGTAACACTCTGCGAGATCTTTCTACCGCATATCGTCCGCTATCACATTTATCCAGGTCGTTTTGGATCTTTCTCGTGGCCTTTAAATCCCTTATTTCCATTAAAGTACATTTCTTCGCCCAATCATCGTTAACTCGTCATGCCCAAACAACCTCAGTTAATTTCCTTTCATCGCCCCTTCAATTGCCTCTATTTCAAACCATTCTCACAATTTCTTACTTGGTTTTCTCTACTGTCATTCAGGTTTACAGATAATATTTTATATTTATTAAATAAACTTTAAGGTATTCCTACCCTTTTCCACATAATGTTACACCAAAAAAAACGATAGCTTTTATTAATATAATATGTAGTTCATACATTATTTTTTATAACGACATTATTAAATGTACAATTGATTACGATACTAATATAGGCATAATAGAAATATTTATAAAATCGCAAATTCAAGGCTTAGGCTACGATCGCTATGTGGTCGTACCCCGCAGATATGTCCTTGATATTTCTTTGCATGAGAGAAACTTGTTGAGGGAAATGGTATTGATTGAGGGATTTCGTCGTTTTGCTGTACAATAGGCCCAACCCTAGGGCTCCGCAGGTATTATCGCCCCATGTGAAAAGATTACCGGCGCGGGTTTTAGCGCAAAACTGAGAATATCCCGCCACTATTTGTACGACTGGCTCATCAAAAAATAGGGGTTTCGGTATGGCGAGTGGTATCTGAGAATGACTTGATAATAATTATTATTTTATTTTTAAAAAAAGGAAGATTTTAAATATTTAAACTAATAATGTTCTGTTTTTAAAATACCAATACATTTTTAAAGGTTATATTTATTGCATGAGTCAATATAGAGAAATTGGTATTCGATATAAATTTAGAGGAGTTTGGTAAAGATTATAGATAGCCCCCTCCAGAGATAAGAAGATGCTCACCCTACTAGAAGAAGTTTATTTTTTGAGGGAGTCGGTTTGGAAGCACGATAGCTGGTCCGCACCAAGAATTTAATCCATCCGCTCATGGTTGTGAAAGAAATTCGACCACCCGCCCATTAGCTTAAAAATGCTGGGTCTACCAGCCCACCACTAGCCGTTGTCCAAAGATTAACAACCAATTAATTTTTAATAAGCCAGCCCTTCCCATCGAGCGCTTAAAACATTTTTAACCCATTCATAGCTTTCCCATCGTCTAAATATTTGAAAAAGTTCGGCAGAAAGAAAACCTCTACCCTAATTTAACTTTCTACGCGTGGAAGGAGAGATAGGTCACCTAATTTAACAAATAAAAACGCCGCCCCTCTCTCTGAAAATTGAAAAGGAATAATTTACGTAAGCCTGTGTAAGAAGCCGTACAGTCCGGGGAAATGAAACACGAGTCAAAGTGGTACACGAAACTAAATTAGAAAAAAAAACAGAGATGAGAATAGTAAGATGGGTGTTACAGGTATCTTAGAGGGAGAGAGAAAAGAAACGAGGATGAGAAAGGATTGGAATAGAACAATCGGATTGGAGTGGGGACGTGGAAATAGATTGAGGTGATTTGGGCCCGTTGAAACAAAAAATGATTGGGTGAAGAAATGCACCTCGAGAAGTAATGGGATCTAGGGCTTCGAGGAAGACTAAAAACAACTTGGCTGAATATGATAAGGGGAGAAATAGGAATAATGGGTCTTAAAGAGTGGAGGAGGGGGGGATCAAAAGGAAAATTGACATACCCGAGTAAAGCTGGAATTTCCAGGGATGAAAAATAAGAATGTATTCTCCATATTTATTTTAAAAAACTCACAAATCACCCTTCATAAGATAATTGTGAAATTAAATATTATAAAATAGTTATGTTAATATAAATAATATAACAAACTTAACGAGTGGCCCCAGTCCTAATGGCCCCATGCCCCAAACATGTAAAGTCCCCGTTGGCCCGTCTAAGACGCAGCACATGCTATTTGTGCACGCGATATCGACTATTTGGCGACCCTTAATGGTTCCGTGGTTCGAAATTGCAGCATTATCCTTTGGTACATCTTTACAATCGCGTTCGTCGGGAGAATCGAATAACAGTAACGGGCGGGGAAAATTAGTGGCACTCAAGTCGAATTTATGACCCTCCAATATATTAGATCTGGACTTTAGATCAGAGAAAAGCGTGAACTGGGAATGCTCCCCGGACCCCCAAGCGAAAACTTTACCCTTCGCCGTGAGAGCCATGGTTGTATTGCTTCTACAGGCTACCTTGATTATCTTATCGTCGTTTGAGAGCATGGTAGTATCGGAGGAAGAAGCGAAGTTTAATAGGACAGGAACGGGGTTCATGAGGTTCATCTGACCGTCACCTGAAGATGGGTTTCAATTTAACTAGTATATGGTAATTTGAGAGGGTAAATGAATTAAGTTTTATTACATTATCAGGGGGTGTCGAACCGAACAGTTAGAGATACTTTCAAATCGGTTTCTTTCAAAACGGTGTGAAACCGTTTTTTTAAACTAAGAAACGGAATGGAACTGACCGGTAAATAAAAAAAAACTGAAACTGTAGTTTACTAAATTTATATCGCCAAGTTTAAAAAAAAAAATAACGTTATGGATAACTTTAAAACACTCAACCCCCCTTTTCTCACATTTTTTTTGAACTTGCCCTCGGAAACAATATTTACAAAAATACTATATCAGCTTGTGTTGTTAAAAAGCCCGCTACGCGTCGATTACGATTATGACCAAAATAACATTAGGTGATCCTAAAAGATTTTGCACATAGCTGGCGGAAATGTTTGTCACATCTATTCGCTGAACCTTGATGCTTACATAATATTCTTTTAGCTAAAATCTTAATCGGGCCGTTTTGCAAAATCTGCCCATATCATCAGGGCCGGGTGCTTAAATCGAATGAGTTAAAAAAACAAACTCGGGTAAGGGGTAGAGCCAGAAAATAAAATAATTTTTAAAACCGGGCTGATAAAGAGTTACCTCCGGGCTGCCTATTAAAAATATTTTCGATTCGCTGGCTCACCCAGCCAAATGTTTAAATTTTTTTTGAAATATTGTCCGGATTGGCTTTAAAAAAAAAACCACCCGCAAGTATATATTTTAATTTCTCTTAACTTTTAAAAATAAAAAACCTATTTGTCCGTATAATCCATGCCCGCAGGAATAGAGTAGACCGGAAGCGGTCAAAAAATATGACGTATTTTCGCCGCACACTACGTCGTTGACTGGCGAATCAAAGTGTTTCGATGGTATCTTATAAATCAAGGGATTATTCCTATTCAATAACAACATTTTTATATTGTAATTAAAAAAAAAAGTTCAAAAAATAATATGTATATAACCCGATGACGTATAATAATACCTAGACGAACGTTGCATTCGTAATAATGCACTTGAGCGTCGTTTGCAAATCAGCTGGGCCCGCCATTTTGGTAACCCATATAATAATTATTCTCATGTTAAAAACTGCTTCCTCGATGATCAGGGCAATTCTTTCATAAAGTTTGCGCCGGGCATAGGAATAAATTGGCCTCTCGTTTAAAATTTTCAATTGGCGTCCTCAGCTTTTTTTTCATTGATGCACACTTTTAATGAATGCATCGTGAATCTAGGTATTATTATATATCATTGATATAACCAAACCACTTATTGTAATTAAAAACATGAATATAATGATATCAATAATAAAATATACAGTAAAATTTGGATACTGGTTGGCAGTATTAACCGATGTTTTCACTTTTGACCGGCGCCAATGACCGATAACGAAAATGATAACTGTATTTATATTATCACAAATAAAAGAAGATGCTTTGTTGACATACTATATTATTTAGTAAATAGATTGTTACGATTTGCTATACACATAGCCCTTCATTAGCACATTTTGGATTTAGAAGAAATTATCTAATCAAATTTCACCGAGACTCATAACATAGATAATAATATTAAGCGGGCTGTGATTAATTGAATGGTATCTACGGTATCGTCCCTCTAATTCGTATGAAAATTTAGGAAATAGGTTTTTTGTCGTAATTGCAATAGTTCGTTCCCAAAAAAAAGCCAATTTGCAATAGTTCGTTCCCAAAGTAGTTTGTTCCCAAAATAATTATGAAAATCCAAGAGATTAATGCTAAATCGCAACAATTATCAATAAGAAAATTGGAAATTAAAGTATATATTATTTAATTTTCATATAATAATTAATTTTTTTAGAAAACTAGTAAAAATAAAGATTGCATAATTTATGCAGGATATGATTATATCTTCCATAAATATGGAAAGAACGCTATATATTACACATGCAGAAGAAGATGTGGAGGAAGAGCTAAATTTAGTAATACTGAATTTAGTATCACTGTAAAACATTTAGAAACATGCAAGCCAATTCAAAGTAAATAGTTATAAATATTTTACCATATATTATCCAATTAATATTCCAATTTAGATGATTCTCTAAGTCTAACCTCTGACTTTCAAGGTCCATCTATGAAACTCCCTGTTCAAGGTAAATAATTGTGATTTATAAATTATTTTAAATACTCAAATTATAGGTATAAATATTTTAACATATATTATCCAATTAATATTCCAATTTAGATGATTCTCTAAGTCTAACCTCTGACTTTCAAGGTCCATCTATGAAACTCCCTGTTCAAGGTAAATAATTGTGATTTATATTATCTTATATGCTCAAATTTTTATTTCTTTAAGACTCTGATTGCCCTAAGAAAAGATATATATCGATATCAACACAAAGTGATTTTTATAGCTAAATATTTCATATAAATATATTTTAGCTGACAATACTCTATTAATGGACGCCTCTACACAGACAAATATATCATTATTTTCACCAAGTATAAAAAATTAAAAACTTAATTACTGAATCATGTGTATTTATATTATAGCATCAAATGTATGCACTGCAGAATGCCAAAGTAAAATATCATATATATATTTACAATAATTTTTTAAAGCTCTTAATCTACAAGTTTTGGACATCACAAATAGTCCAAGTAAATTTCAATTATATATTTGTGCTATCAATTTTTTAACAAAGTTATGAACCCAGAGGTAATGGAAGAAATAGATGCCCATAACAGAATTATCAATAGTCCAAGTAAATAGTATCTTATAGATATTTATATCATTTTTAAACATAGCTATCATTCAAAACAATCAATATAGTTTTATAACATCAAAAAACAACAAAAAAATGATATATTATAACAAATTATTTATACAGCCATGATTTCGGCGACCTATATTACAAATGCCGAAAGAATACTTGTAAGGGTAGGGGTAAATTTGGGTCACATTTTACTGTGACCCAAACACATAACCACCTCGATGACGAGGAGTATTACCACTTTCTTGTAACAATAAATCTTCTAAAAGACCAAATAAATATAGATACTCATTTGAGTATTCTAAAAATTTATCAAAAAGTCATGAGGACAAGAAAATTAGATTTATATTGTATAAATCATCCAAAGACTTTGCCAACATTTTTGGCGGTGAAATCTATAATGGGTCGAGTTGTTCAGTCAACTAGACCTTCAATCCCTATAAATAATTCCAGTATTATTTTACATGATGAACACAAATTAACAATTGAACGGAGACAGTTTTTATTTTTTAATAGTGAAGATAATAAAATATTTATTTTTACAACTTATAAACTTTTATCACGCCTATGTTTGGCTGAAAAAATTTTTTTAGACGGTACTTTTAATGCCTCTCCTAAATTATTTAAACAATTTTATACTATCTCTATTTTAATTAATCATACTTTAATTATTTGTGTATATATTTTATTGCCAGATAAATATAAAAATACTTATTTAAATATGTTTTTATTATTAAAAAATCATTGTTTATCTTTAGGGTTATTTTTTTCCCCCCGTTTTGCCACTATTGATTTTGAAATTGGCGTATACTTAGCCCTTAAAGTTGTTTTTCGCACTATTATAGTTAAGGGCTGTTATTTCCACTTCTGTCAGTGCGTTATTAGGCGCATTCAAGATAGTCATCTAACCCGACTATTTAGACAAAATATTGAAATAAAAAAATTTTTTCGAATTATAATGGCCATTCCTTTTTTGTTAGAAAGGGATGTGCAATTTTTAATTAACGATCTTCGGCGACAAGCTGAAGTTTTTAGAATAAATTCAATACATGATTTTTTAAACTATTTTGAAAATACTTGGATTAATTTTAATGCAAAATTTAAATATCAAATGTGGAATACATTTGATATTAGGGGCGTGAGGACGAATTAACCATGTGGAAGGGTTTCATCGTTCATTAAGAGAATACATTCCTTATTCGCATCCTAATATTTATCTCTTTATTGACACCATAAAAATTATAGAACAAGATATGGACTTGAAATTAATCCAATTAGATGATGGCAGAAAGGTTACGGAAAGAAGAAAAAAAATATTGTATATTAGACGATAAAATTAAGGAAAATATAATACTATACTGTGGAGGTTTTTTTACCCCTATAGAATATTTGGAAAAAATATCAAAATTTTTATATTCAAAAAAATCAAATCACTCTAATTTTTCTGCCATTGTCTAACTATATTGTTTTATATTGTCAATAAAGGATAACATTACTATTAATCCGAGTATTTATAGTCGGGTTTGACAGAGGTGGTATACGTCATTTTCAAAATTTATAGTTTTTAATTTTTTTTTTTACATATACCTTATCATATTGTTTCGTCATCGACATTTTATTTATATAGTTAACACGCACTAAACCATTTTTAATAAATTTCCATACCATGTTTTAAATCATATTTATATAGCGCTATACTAATATGTTAACTTATAATAATCGCAATGGAAATATATTATTTTTAATATTTATTTAAAATTTTTTATGACATAAATAATAAATAAATCCCTAAAATTATTATTACTACTTTATGTTCATTCTTAAATAAGTTGAATTTTCTTACCAGGTAAAAGCGTGCCACTTAAATTTTAGAGTACTTATGATAAACTTCAATATTTATATAGTTTCAAAGCAGTGACGAAGCGTCAAATTCACTACTAGGGAAGCAATAGAATTTTTATTTTTAGTCAAACCATAAAAAGATTAAAATATATAAATAAGTATAATTCGTTTTTGTTTTTGAGTAAAATGATCAAACACAGAATTATAATAGTTATTGCTAGATTTTAAATTTTTTAATAACTTTTTTTCAATCGAAGTCAAAAATATTTTTATCTTGTACTCAGTATCTTTTTGAAATTTTTAATAAGTATGATTTGAATATAATGGGAAATTTTTTATAAATATAATACTGCAAATACCTTCATCAGCTCCAATTGAAAGGTTATTTAGTTTTGGCACAATGTTAAGTATGCCGAAACGGCAAAAGTCCAATTATAAATATTTGAAAAATTTGATTATCTTATAAAATAATGAATTTATTTTAAATACTCTTTTGCAAATTAATATTTCAACTCCCATTAAAAATACTAGTCTCCCTTCATCTATGCTAAGAATGGGCTAATACTAATATTAAAATACCTGATTATTATAATCAACTCATCATTAGATATTTTAGTAATTATTGTAAATATTCATTCTTATTATATGAATGTTATGTTCTTCACAAATAAATAATAAAAACTGTATTTTACAAACTATTCTAATTTAATTGGTAATGATAATTTAGAAGTATAAAAGATACAAGTATCTTTTATCTTGTATCTTTTTGATATTTTGAAAAAGATATTAGTATCTATATCTAAGATTCATTTTTTCACAAAGAATCTGTATCTAGATTCTTTTTCCGGATGACCTGCCCAACTCTGGGTATTGTTTATAATTAATAGGCGTCATGTCTAAGCAAGGATTTATAAATTCCTTTGCATGATAAGAATATCCTTCACAATCTTGAACTGATATCTATAGATAATGGGAAAAAAATTTCTATATATGAGTTTTAATATTATATATATATTTTTTTATTATATTAGTCTTAATATTTTTATAATATATATTAATTTAAATTATATGCTCATACATATAACATAAAATTTGCATCTAAATATTTTTATTTTTTAGATAAAAAGGCGTTAAATAAAAGTATATCAAAATGTATCTTAAAAAGTATCTATAAACAGATACCTTTGAAATAGTATATAGATGCATATACTTTTTATACAACTCTGATAATCATAATAAATTTTCAATAACATAATTACAATTATTAAACATTAATTAAGTAAGGAAAAAAAATATAATAAAAAAAATAAGCATTTTTTTATTTTGCTTCGTCACTGATTTAAAGATATATTTATAGTATAATCATGCTGTCTGTTATATATTAATAGATCTAGAAGAGTTTTCTAAAATATTGTAAATTATCTGCAATTTATAATATATTATCTTAATTAATTAAATTTTTTAATATATTCTTTTCTATTATTAATATAAAATATGATCATATATTTTATATACAATTATTATAATATTAATTGTATATAATCTATATTAATTACCATTTAGCAATTTACATTTATATTTAATTTTATTTAAAATAAAAAGTATATTTTAATTTATTTGTCTAATCTGTTACATCATTTCAAAATTATACAAATATTAAAATCGCTTCAAATATATTTGTGGCCATTTTAGGTCATTTGACGTTTTTTCATAAATGTTCATACGATCTGGCGGACCCTAACCAAATACAAAGCTAGAGTAGTGTTGTCAAACGTTCAACTCAATAATTTTATTAGGAAAACTATTATGCATGCCTTAAGATTTTGCTCATAGGTGGCACCAAAGGTTGGTGAACATCTATTAGACGAAATCTCGAGGCATTGGACCATACTTTTCTGGCTAAAATATCGAGTTAGCCGTTTTTTAAAAATCGGTTTAAATCGAGCCGTTTAACAACACAAAGCACAAAGAAGATATAGCAAAGGTTGAGCTGAGGAGAAATATAATAAAAAAATTAGCTAGAAACAAGTAAGAGATTAGAGATCTTATCTTCGAGTAACTTGCGACAATTATGATCTGAACAAAATATCGTACTTGTATCCACAAATTTTTCACTTGTTCCTAAAGCTCGATTTAAGCCTATTTTTTACGAACGGCTAACTTAATACTTTATCCAGAAAAATATTACGCAAACCTGAAGATCTTTGCTCTCATAGATGGCACAGAGGTTTGGATTTATAAAAGAGGAATCTCGAAGCTTAGGCGATATTTTTTTTCTAGCTAAAACAGTGAGTTAGCCGTTTTTAAAAAATCGGCTCAAAATCGAAATAAGTAACTATGAGTTTGGGATGGGACCAATGCTAATATATTCTTCTTAATTTTACAAAACCATTAACAATCAAAAATTATCTAAAACATATTGGTTTGAAATATTGTTTTTTAAAAAACGATATAAACCATTACCAATATTTAGTTGAAAAAAAAATAGATTAAATATATAAAATTAATTTAATATTTTTTTTATTCGTAGATTCAATATGTAAGCCCTATATTTTATTTATTTCTTTCAATTTCGGGTATACACTTATTTACATGTAATTTCTTTAAGTGAAAAATTTTTCCTTCAAATTATTGCTTGGTTCATGACTGATCCGTTATTATGGAAAAAAAAGTATTACATTATCTATTCATTTGGTTATTATAATTGAAGAAGGCATAACCCATAATAGGTCATACAGAAAAACGCTATTGAATTTCCTATCAATCTTAAGTACTGTATTTTCACGCAAATTGACAGTAATATATTTTTATAATTCTTTTTCATTGTGATATATATACATTTATTTTATTTATCACTATTTTTTACACCTTTTGTTTATCAATAATATGAATCCAAACCAAATAAGTCAATATAAATTCAAACCAATAACCAATAAATACCAAATCTATCAACACGAAAACAAGATATAGTTACATTACAATACCAATATTTTTTAGAACCAATACCAATACAATATTTCGTTAATCTTGGATTTTTTAAAAAAAATATTGATTCCCAGCCTCTACTATGACGCTATTGACATTAATTGGTATTTGGATTATGTATATCAAAGACTTGCAGAAATATAATTCGCAGGCTCGGCCCGGGTTTCACATTTTCAGGCCCGCCCGGATATTTTTTTAAGGAAAATTATTATTCGGCCAGAATTTATTCAAAATAGGCATTCGCAGACCTCTAGTAGTAGAGTAGCGTAAGAAGGAAAATAAAATGATTGATAATTAAAACGCGGTTTAAAAAAGATAAATTTATTTTACTCATAGTTCTCATCGGTTATAACCTCCCGAGCACATTGTCCGAATCGATTACAACCGAAAGAAAAAACGCCGTCCGAAGTTAAAACTAGGGTATGATTTTGTCCAGCTGCCGCTTTAATAATTCGGTCGGAGGGTATCATGATGGGCACGGGTTCCAATATAAAATTTAGACCTTTTCCTTGAATTATTAAAATAAAATAATAATCAACGCGCCAGTAAATTTTTTTTTGTCCATCCCCATAACACATCATAATATTTATATGTTAGCGGCAATGTGTTATTTTTTTTTCAACCTTTTAAATCACTTTTTTAAGCGCATTTTTTTTTTAAATTTAAAAAAATAATTTGATTTTAAGGAAAATGTATACCAGTATATTTAGAATACCTAATATTAGGAATTGTAGATAATTTTACAGTTAATTTTCGAGTCATTTATAATCTATATAAAAAAATATACAAAATTTAATATAAACTATATTAAGTTTTATAATTTATATAAAAAATATACAAAATTTAATATAAATTATATTAAGTTTTATTTATAATTTATATAAAAAAATATACAAAATTTAATATAAATTATATTAAGTTTTATAATTTATATAAAAAATATACAAAATTTAATATAAATTATATTAAGTTTTATTAATTTATATAAAAAAATATACAAAATTTAATATAAATTATATTAAGTTTTAAAATTTATATAAAATATACAAAATTTAATATAAATTATATTAAGTTTTATAATTTATATAAAAAAATATACAAAATTTAATATAAATTAAATTATATTAAGTTTAAAAATTCATGGGAAAATTTATCTGAAATCAATAAGGTAGGTTCCATAGGTATGAGCCGCTATCAAACGGACTTGAAATGTCGGCACACATTTCAGGTAAAAATCAGATTTTGAAATTTTTAAAAACGCGCCCAAAAAATGATTTAAAGTTGAAAAAAAATAACTCATTGCCGCTAACATATATATTTATTTGATATATTTCGAAATATAATTTTCGCTTTTTATAAGATAACATTAATTGTAATAATATTATAATTTAAATAAATTTCATGATAAATACTTTAAAAAAAAATAAAATATATAAATATTTCAGAGATACATCGATAAAGTTACTAAGCATATGTCATTATAAGTATCGACTGATATTTTCAATTTTATCCGATACAAGTTGGCCAATACTCAAAAATGGTAATTAAACTTCGTAAATTATTAAATAAAAATTTCCTCCGTGGAAACCATATATTCCACGTTCTTATTTCGCGCTTTTATATATTTTTCTTTTCACAATCTCATTGCTATCTATTTATTTATTTCCAGTCAATCAATTTTCTTTATTTATTTAATCTTTTATTATTTTCCTTATCATTGGTATAATTTGCCATTATACTTATTTCATTTGGAGGTTTTGGTCGTGATATCTTCCCACCTTAACATGCCACCCATCAGAAGAGGCGACCTCTGCATCCGCCTCCCAGAGGTTGCCTCACTCTGAATCATTTATCATTACGTCCAACCAGCTACCTAGCTCGTTATCGAAGCCTTCAAAGTCATCCAGGACCGTCGCTAGATCCCGTAATTCCTCGGTCTTCCTCACTCTTTGACTATTCCCCATATGTTCGGCCGCCGTGTCCTCTGTAACTTCCCCCGCGTTAGATTATTTTCCACCGCCACCTCGTTTGGGGCCTCATTTTCATTTGTTAAGTCTACCACTGGCCACACCATTTGATTCCCGCTGGCTTCCCTTTGACGATGCGCTGGCTCTTGGTCATCTTCCCCCTCTCTCCTCGTTCCATGGATCATCGCAATAGACCTTGATCCGACGCTCCAAATGAAATAAGTATAATGGCAAATTATAATAATGATAAGGAATCGATAATAATAAAAGATTAAATAAATAAATAAAGAAAATTGATTGACTGGAAATAAATAAATAAATAGCAATGAGATTGTGAAAAGAAAAATATATAAAAGCGCGAAAAAAACGATGATTATATTATTGATTTTTTTTTGATATTAGTTTATCTTGTATTTTTTGTATTTTATTTGTTTGTGTGGAAATAAAAGAAAAATAAAGGATTACCGAATTTGAAGTAAACGAAAAATAGTGAATAAGAAAGGAAATAAGGGTTTTTCAATAGTTGGAAATAAGGGCTTTTCAATAGTTCAAATGTGCCAACTATTTAAACAAAGGTTCTTCTATTCAATATAATATTCATAGAAACATGTCTATACATCACAATTTTTTTAATAATTTTCCTTTTATCCAAGTTGCAATAAAAAAATAACAACAAAACTGTTTGTATAAAAAGATACCTAACACTCATGCATGAATATAAATCGATAAAATATATAGTATCTATTTAGTCATCATTTCACTCATATAATCCCCGATTATAACATCTTCCCAACTTTAACACTCTTCCCTATGCCTCAATTGATCCCGATACCTACAATAAACTAAAACTATTCCACTCTATATTCTAACATTGAATTTTTCATTTCCAATTAATTCCTCCAAGCCCCCCCCCTCCCTTACAATCGCACACTTAAACTTTCCTTTGAACATTAATACATACACCTCCGACTTCATTAACGTACCCAGCCTTTTCATTTCTTACTCCTTTTAACGAATCCAACATTTATATACTGATTATGAGCCCTTGATATCCTAGATTCCAGCGGTGGCTGCTGTTGGTCGGAAATATTTTCAATGTGGAAGTACGTTATGGACCTGGAAAGATTAATTATTATCATCATCAAGATTATGCAATGAAGATGTCACGGACATGAAGGATAATTATGATAACGGAGTAGTTAGAAAATTATCTATCGGGCATGTTCCAGTGACGTGGCAGGAAATAAAGCAAAAGCACACTAGAAGAATGAGGAGTTGAAGAAAATTAAGCAATGTTTAATGGGAGAGAGAGAAAAGTTGGGAAAAGAAAGAATATCCATAACAGGCGGCAGAACTGGAGATAGCCATTAAAGATGATTATTTGATGAGGGGTAATTTAACCATAGTAGCGCGAAAACTCGGGGATAAAGTAGTCAGAATGTTCCATGCGGATAAGCAGAATGAAACAATGGACTGGAGAATTTGTGTGGCGGCAGTCGATGCAGAAGAATATTAGAAAGGTGTGTAGATAGCGTAAACCGTGCAATGTATCGTCCAATTTACCGAGAAGGAGCAAGGGACACCATTGGAAGGAGACAACCCAGGCACGTGAAAGGATACATCTGGTCGAATGGAAGAAGTAATATTTTCTTATAACAGATGTTTTCTTCCAAATAGATTGACTGCTTAAAGTTTTGGGATTAACTTCAGTTATCGTTTAGGAAGATTGAAGGAATTTTTTGGAAATGGAATGGTAAAGATGATAGTAACTGTTGGGGAACGGCATTTACAAGTGTAGCGCTTAAGGCATTTTGAGATACCTGGTATCGAACAAGTTTTTACGACTTCAGACCACCCAAGTTCCAGTCAAGCTGAGAGAATGGCTGCAGTAATGAAATAGTGGCTAAGAAAAGAAAAGTATTATGGTGAGAGTGAAAATGGATATCAATTATTTCATAATGATAATAAGAATGATAAGGATGTATCTCTGGAGGGATTTTGTGAGAAAAATAAGTTACAAATGTTGGATTCATTAAATGGAAAAGGAAATGAAAAGGTGTGGTACGTTATTAAGACGAATAAATTCAGAATGGTATGTGTTAATGTTCAAGGGAAAGTTTAGATGGACAATTGAAAGGGGGGTAGAGGAAGCTATTGGTTATGCAAAATACAATGTTAGAACAGAGAACAGAATAGTTTATTGTAGACATCATCATAGGAAGAGTGTTAAATGTGAGAAGATGTTATAACCGGGAATTATATGAGTTAAAAGATGATTAAATATATACTATATATTCTGTATTCGCATGTTATATTTTGGTGATTTATGTTCATGAGTGTTATGTATTTTCTTTATATAAACAGTTTTATTTTTAATAAATTATAAAGTTTTGGAGACATGTTATTTGTCCTTTTAGTTAACAGAATAGATTTGAATAACTGCCCATGGAATATAAGCTGATAAAAAAGAGTTTCTTTTTCTCTTTTTTTACTGTAAATTTAAAATATAATAATAATTAGAGATGATAAATAATTTTTAAAAACAATTTGATGTTAAATCTATGCCTTTTCAATATATTACACTATTATTTTTTTGGTATCATTATCATATATGGATGATATCAGTATTCTGTGTTTAGTGTTGTTAAATACATTTTAAAAATAGCCTGAATAAGATCTTAGCAAAAATAATATTATACCTCAAAATTTAGAAAAGAGAGGTCCAAACCTTTCTACCCCCAACCATAAGCAAAATATTATTTTGTCTAAAATCTTATTGGTTGGTAATAACAGTATCTGTTATCATTGTTATCTAAAATGTTATATAAGTGCTTTCTTTTGCATCTTAGTATTCCAAGTTATTTGCAACAATTTATAACTTTCATAATAAATAATATAAACATTAAAATAAACCTGAGTTTTTTCTAGCTTCATGAAAGCCTATTTGAGAATTTACATTTATACCACATCCATATAGCTTTTTATTTGATACAAACATTGTGTATCCATATCCACAAGCTATATTTTTTATCTAAACAAATTTTTTTTAACTATAAATACCAAGTCTATGTTTACTTTATATTTATCAGCAAAATAAAGATGCATAGGAGCCTTGACACTATATCTAATATTTTTACCAACTTTGGGCCTCAATAATCTTTCGTTACCTAAGGCTCCATAATACCCTCCACCCCATATATAAGCTCTTGTCCTTAGCTTTGATACATGTTGATCTGATACATTTAAACTTTCGTTTTCAGTGGTGTTATTTTCAAGTAAATTCTTATTATAATTTATAATAGATTCTCTATCACCAATGATAACATATATTGAAACAATCATCAAATATATTACTTGTTTTTCGATAAATCACGTAAGTATATTAAGCTATAAAACCTAGCATTCAATTTTTTAAGCATATGTATTTATATGAATGAATGTCATTATTCTATAAATTAAAAAGTATAAAGCATCTGCTAAAATGTTTGGTTGATATCATTAGATAACACTAATAATTAAATCCTCTACGTAGAAATATATCATTATATTTATTTTATTTATTTGTCATGGTAACAGATTATAGTACGTATTACATCAATGCTTTAATACATCACAAATATTTAGACAATGTAAATAATCGAATCGATTAAAGACCAAAAAATAATTCTTTAAAAACGATACCAAATATTATCATTATTGGTATACCGCAAACTATCAAATATTAATTAATTTACCTAATTGTTACAATTTAATAATTTTACGTATAATAAAATCCTATCATACATTAAGAGGCAGCTTGGCTCAACACGCTTTGAAGACTTAGTAACTATTTATTTCTTAAATTATTTTAGTATTATAAAAATAGACCCTACATTCTGCTCTATCCCTCATAATATAAATAGAACCAGCCATTTTTCATACAAAAAGCGACCCTTCTGCTTCAATATATATAAATAAGGAAAAGTCAACTAAAACCTTCTTACATGAAATAATAGCTAAAGCGTGCATGAATTAGCTATATTTGATAACTTATAAACCATTATAAAGATAATTAAACTTAATTATTACTTTCGTGTTAAACATAGGTAATATAAATGATATTTATTATAATAACTATGATCTAATAAACTTATAATTTTATTTATATAATATAGGTAATCTCTATATATTATAGTCTCTTTTATTTTTATAAAACTCAAAATAGTTCGGTCACAAATTGAAATAATGGCAGATGATGAAGAAATGTATAAAAAAATAAACATTTTGGAACATAGTAATTTTTATTTTAAGGATTCAAGATTTCGATGAGTTCGAAGAAGAAAATGATGAAGATGAAAAACCTAATGTATTTATTAGTTTGTAACAAAATATTACAATTATTTAAAGGAAGACTATGAACAAATTGATGTTGCACCCTTAAATGAAGATATTACTATTGAAAGAAAGGATCCCTCACAAAGAATTACCACACCTTTTATGACAAAATATGAAAGAGCACGTATTCTAGGAACTAGAGCCTTGCAAATAAGGTAATTATGGTTGTAACCTAAATTCCTTTTCTAATTAAATGATCCTTCTTTAAAAATGTAATATTTCAGACTTTATTTTAATATCTCATGTTCAAGTATTTTATTTAAAGCAATCAAATATTTTCAAATTCCTTAAACTTAAAAAATTTATAATTTATTTGATATAAGGATTTTTTAATTGAATGGCTATTTTAAGTGTGTTTTTTTTGCTATAAAATGATAAAATTATTTAATATATATATATCACATAATTTTAGCATGTGTGCTCCATTAATGGTTGAATTGGAAGGTGAAACAGACCCCTTGCAAATAGCTATGAAAGAATTAAAAGCCCGTAAAATACCAATCCTCATCAGAAGATATCTGCCTGATGGATCTTATGAAGATTGGGGTGTTGATGAATTAATTATTACTGATATTTAATTGATTTAATATATTTTACATTGTAAACAATACCTTATACATATATATATCTTTGTAAATTATAAATTTATTTAAATATAATGTTTTAAAAAAAGTAAGTATATTTATTTTTTTATTTATAGCAATATATTGTATTAGTTCCATGAGTTTCTTGATCAAAAGATTTTTATCGTTGTTTTCTCAAACCATAGCTGCCCTTTACTGTCACTGGTAATGTTAAAAGACTCATTTTGAGCTTATTTTTAAAAATGGCTAGCTTCGAGATTATGACTAGACCTTTGTTGCTTTTATGAGCAGAATTTTCATATTTATGTGTCATTTAACAACCCTAGTCATTGGTTTTATATATTTGTGAAAGTGCTTACAAAATAATACACTAAGTGAAACAAAATATTTTATTAACTATTATATTCAATATCTAAAAATAATTTCAGAAATTATTTAAGTGCCTTTAAACCCATTACCCATTTTTGCTGCATTTAGGAAATTTGTAAAAAATTAATTTTATTATATTTTTTTAAAATATTTGTCCAAAAACTTAATTTAAAATAATAGATAACTTTAAAAAAATTTAAGTAATGGATATAACTTTATTCAACTATCTAAAAGTATTCTGGAGCTGAGACCTTCATGGGCCTTAATTTTTTGACCAAGCCTGGTCTAGGCTCGCTGTAAAAAAAGTTTTTTGGGCCCAAGCCCATCCCGGCCCATATCGAAGGTTAAAAAAAATTCCCAACCCCATGATAAGTTTCAAAAATATTCCCAACCCCACATCCAAAAATTTAATTTTTTTTTAAAATGAAAATCAGAGACCTGCAGAGGTACCATTTGCCCAGCCCAGATTAAAAAAATTTCTGCCTGGCCCGGATCTTTTTTTCAAAAATTCAGCCCGGGTATTTTAAAAAAAAAAATTTAATTTTTCAGGCCAGGTCTGATGAAAATAAACAGTATTTAAATATATTTATGCAATCATTTTGTTTACAATATTGAAATTTATTATTAGAAGAAAAAAACGGCAATATTTCTTTAAATTATCAACTATTAAATAATTTAAATTTATTAATTTTAGGCCCAAGCCCATTAAAAATATTTTAAAAAAATCCAGGCCCGCTAGAAAATATAATATTAGTTACCCGGCCTGCGGGACAGCCCGGCCCATGAAGGTCTTTGATCTGGAGCCCTTTAAAAAAAGAGGAAAAAAACCCCTCCCCTCATCCAAAATTCCACAGAGATACTGAAATTATAAAAACAAACATCGCAAGTGCCGCTGCATGAGAAATCAAGACCAAGAAAGTAATCGACTGAACTTTTCACAAAGCTATATTTTATAATGTGCAGTAGTTACAAATTTGCTAAAAATGTTTCCACACCCAAAATGCTTCAGATTTTATAAATAATACTTGGTTACTGTATTTATCAAAGGGTACATTTATTATTTATCTCATAGATTGACCCCCTTTATCTATATTAAATGATAACATGCCTCCTGATAAAGGAAATAACCTAATATATTTTGTATCATTTATCTATTCTTGGAATTAATTAGAATATACTTTTATAAAACTTGTATTAGGTTTGCTATGCTTGTGCTTCACCTCAAAAGCCCACTTAATAAATTTTTTTTTAATAAAATAGATTCAAAGCTGCAATAACAAATTTTTCTGCCTCTACTTGCTACAATTCTTAAATATTTTTTTGTAAATGCTGATGCTGCTAATTCCTTGATTTTTTTTAGGACTTATTTTATTTTTGGCTGAATTCTAGCTCATCTTAATTCTTATTTCTATTTAGCAAAATTAACCTTGACACTATTTTATAAGTTTCTCCCATTTTTTAAAAAATATCTAAATGATGGTAATTGATCCTTACATCGTTCTTACAACTTCACGGACCTGACGCACCACAATTTGGTATAGTTTTTGGTAATTGATCCTCACTTTTAAAAAAATTCTTACAACTTCACGCTTTAAAAACAGGTCATAACTCGGTTGCGGTTAGTGATATCGATATACGGTTTGAAAATTATTAACGCACAAATTAAAACCTAAATAATTGCCAAGTTTCAGATGGTGATTTTTTATATTTTCGGTTTTGGCAAAGTGCCAACACTTTCTTATTTTGCTCATAACTCAGTAACGGTTCATTCCGCTGCTTTCCGGATAGAAGATCAATTAGGATCAATTAACGGGCTATACAATGGTATAAGTTTCGGTAATTGATCCCTAACTCATTACTACAGCTACAAATCTTCGCACTTTCATTATTTTGCTTATAACTCAATAACCTTTCATTCCGCTGATGTCTGGTTTGAAGATTAATTAGGATCAATTAAGACTCTAAATAATGGCATAGGTTTTGGTAATTGATCCTTACATCGTTCTTACAACTTCACGGACCTTATTTATTCCTATTTTTATATAGTTTTAAAATCCCCATTTTACTTAGCTATTTGAATCTTAAATAAAATAGATTCAAAGCTGCAATAACAAATTTTTCTGCCTCTACTTGCTACAATTCTTAAATATTTTTTTGTAAATGCTGATGCTGCTAATTCCTTGATTTTTTTTAGGACTTATTTTATTTTTGGCTGAATTCTAGCTCATCTTAATTCTTATTTCTATTTAGCAAAATTAACCTTGACACTATTTTATAAGTTTCTCCCATTTTTTAAAAAAATATCTAAATGATATCATTTAAAATATTAAATGATATTTATTCCTATTTTTATATAGTTTTAAAATCCCCATTTCACTTAGCTATTTGAATCTTAAAATAGAAATAGATATTTGGTTATTGCGATAAATAATTTGCGCATTTAAATTAATAAGCATGACATTTATAATTAATATACTAGTATACTTTTAATCATATAGGTTTAGCGTCAAGATCTCATCTTTTTTTGAAACTTTTTTCTATCATATTTCTGTTATGATTTTGTCATTCGCTAATAAAACTAGATTGTACGATATTTTTTAAAAATGGGATCTGATATTAATGCAGAAAACTGTTTAGACTATTAATTAGGTTTTATGTGAATAGAGATTTTATCAGTTGTTTAAAGATACTTTTTAAAATGGTTGGATACAGATACATCCCCCAAAAATAGATCCAGTTACATCGACTAAAGATACAGGTATAACTTAAAAATTTTTATCTAGAAACAGATACAATTTTAAAAATGTATATAGATATAGATACAATTTTTGAATGGCCGTATTATATAAAGGATTCGCCGTTGTTCTCGAAAAGAAATTCTTATTATAAGAGCACAAAATACGTAAACAATTATTTTATAATTTTGTTCTCATTCAATTCGAACACCAATACCCCTATATTTATCATTTTTTTTTCGAACAAATTCTCATTTAAAACTACATTAAATGTATTCATTAAAGGTTAGCAGAATATCTAAAATAATTTTGTGCATCAACGGTATTGTTTCTAATAATTAATGGGCGTCATGGTTAAGCAAGGATTTATATATTCCTTCACAATCTTGAATTAATAATAATGGGGACAAATTTAATGAATATTTTATATAATAAGTCTTAATGTTTTTGGGTATATTAATATATATATTTTAATTTATATTAATCTTTTTTTTAGATATGAGAATAACATGAATTTATTCAAATATTCTTAAGATAAAAAAAAAGTGTTAAATTACAGTATATCATAAAAATATCTAAAAACAGGTTCAGATGCCTATAAAAATATTATCGCGAATACATACATTTTTTTTTATAAAAGTGAATCTAGTTTACAGATACTACACTTTTGTATCCTGATACTTCAACAACTCTTAAATTTCTTATAGTAAAATATAAATGATTTGTATTAAATATCCTTAATCACGCAAATAATTTTATTAACAATATTCGAATTTTCAAAAAAACATAACAAATCTAAAGATTATTTTTAAACGATGACAATCACACTTTTTTTTCTTTCTTTTTAAATTGTGATTTCAAAGATATTTTTTTATGCGTAAAAATCTTTTTAAAAAGAAATCTTCAGAGATTTAATAATATTTAAAAATATTTTTTATTTTGAAGGAGCCAATTCAAACTAGCGTTGTTAAATGGCTCGTTTTGAGCCGATTTTTAAAAACGGCGAACTCAATATTTTCGCTAGAAAAAAAATATAACCTAGATCTCGATATCTCGATAATGTATGTCTAGAACCTTTGTTCCTTCTACGAGAAAAATCTTCAGGCTTGCGTAATATTTTTCTTCATGAAATATTGAGTTTAGTCCTTTTATAGAAAATCGGCTCAAAACGAGCCGTTTAACAACACTAATTTCAAACTCCAAAAATTTTCTGTTTTAGATTAAGAAATCTTCGAGAGAGTTTGCCCGCCAAATTCCCCATGAACTAACTAGACCGATTATAAAATAAATATTTTTGCAAAAAATTTTATGTTAATTATAATAGTAAGTGTAAATAATCAAAATTGTGAAAAATATTGTTATGTTCAAAAAATTTTTTTATTTTATTTGTAAATTTGGTATACATTCCTATGTCTTATTCAACAATCAATTTAATTATTTTTTTAAAAAAAATAGCTACTAATGATTTCAACTTCATCCTCGTTAAACTCGTTTCGTTATTTCAACTTTCATTGCATCCCTCGAGGATAATTATGGGGAATGGTTTCCACGTTCGTGATAGTGATCATTAACATATTAATCTTAATCATGATAATCGCGTTACTCGCCTTAAAGGATTGCTTTAGTGTATGCCGGAAATGGGGTAACAAGGATAAGGAAAAAAAGAGCGCTCCTAGCGACGCCCCGACCGATAAAAGGGCCCTGTTGAGTAGCGAAGAAATATGGAAGGATTACAAGGTTGGACTGACTCATAGCCTGTACAGCATTCATTTCGACTCGGAATCGGGTGGCGATACAAAGAGTAAAGAGTTACCCGAACAGGCGACTTCCCTTTACGCCGCGGAGGAAGGTAAAGTAGATTACGAAAATCAATATTTGCCTACCGTCTATCCCGCTGAAGCTTCTACTCCCGTCGAAGATAATGAGGGAAGTTACAGTCCC